CAGAACAAGCCTGTAACTCGTAACTTCAGATGACACTTGCTCCGAGGGTCTGGTCTGTTCCTAACTGTGCAGTCAGAGAACCTTGGTTTAGTGGAGAACAAACTTTGCCAAGTAGCTTTTGTCCCGAGGTCACTGAGATTGTGTAAAAGTTGGGTCCTCAGGCCTGAGTACATCCTGTTTCTGATGTCACGAGGATAGCTTATTCTCTGGATGGGAATGACCTTCACTCCAGAGCCCAGAAACAGAAAGCCCATGAGAGCCTCTGGGGGATCCCCACAAAACTGGCTCCCCTGCCACGCTCACCTGCCTGTGGAGTCTTCGGCTCCTCTTCCATAGCTCTGAGCCCCTGCAGAGCTCGTGCGGTGACTGGCTATAGCTCAACATGGAAAGCTGTGACTGACAGTCTGGCAGGCTCCCTACTGCAGCGAAGCAAACTAGAGACCAAACCCTGGGGTAGAATGTCCGAGCCAGCAGTGGCTGGGACCAGAGCTGGCAGGGACACAGGACACTACCGAATTCACACAGCTCCACTGAAACAACCACCAGGATCATAGGAGAATGCTAGATAAAAAAGACTCTTCAGAAGTCTGGAAGGCTCTATGAGAATAAAGTCTACTAATGGCTGAAACTGCTACAGAGGAACCAAAATAGGACATCGAAGAGAAATGGAGCCTCAGTGGTACAGGCCAGCACACTTCCAAAGGCAGGGACACTGGCCCTTGTCTATTTCAGTGCAGAGACAACCCCACATAAGTAGATTGTGAAAACCGCAATAGAATCCAGCAGATGGGGGTGGGGTTGGGAAGGTCAAAGCAAGTAAAACACACAGGGACGGGCATGGTGCAGTGGAAATTTTCTTTGAGGGTGTCCCTACTCTGGTTGCTGCTGGGACGCTCGCTGTGTGGCTCAGGGAGGACATCTTCCCTCTCTGAGCCTCAGCATCATTTGTAAATACAATGGGTAGACAAGACGGTCCTTACAAGCTTTAATGTTCTCTGAATCTTTGCACTGTCATGATGAAGCAATCCAATTTCCTTTTTTAAAAACCTCAAGCACAGTCTCCTTTGAAGGGTTAAGATTCCTAATTTCACCTCTTGCTTAAAAAACAAAATTAGGGTTTCAAGGTTAAGTCAGGAATGATAAATTCAGTATCTCCAGAGGCCAGAAAGATTTTTTAAAATGAGTGAAACAAGAGTAAACAGAAGAACACATAAAATCTAAATTCCTTCTTATTCTTAAGGGGGAAAAAAATCAGGAGATATTTTAATAGCAGGTTGGCAATCCCAAATGGCAGTGATTGGCTGGATCAATAGGGACCACTTCCTCTGTACAGACCATGCTAAACAACTACAGGGTCCCCACCAAGGGGGTCATGGAGCAGGTCTATGATGTTATCGTTCTATATTGATGGGAACCGAATCATGTATTTTGCCTATGTCTATTATAAACGGATCTCTTTCAAACACGTATGTTAATTGCCTGAAAATATCTGAGTTTTCAACCCCTAACTTTTGTGATCTTTGAAAATCTGTAGAACGAGAATATTAGACAAGGTCCCCGCCAGCTCTCACACACCGAGGTTCTGGCTGAATCATTCCTGAGCCTTCTGTCAACTGAATACCCACTGTCAACTGAATTCATATGAACTCACTATAATCCTCAAGAGCATATGGTCATGAACTAATGGTTGGCTAATTTGAGGGGTCTTCAAAAGTTTTTTAAAATGTGGGCTGTGAAAAAATTATGCTTGGATTTCAAAGTTTCTTTGTGCCAAAATAAACTTGTACTTTAATTTCATCTATCCATGACCTTTTTGAAGTTCTAAAGTGACTGAATTACTGTCCACAAAATGGATCACTGCCTGGTCCTGCTTCTTTAAAAACAAACAAAAGCAACAAGACTGCCCAATGGGGCTACGAGCTATAAAAACACAGTCAGGTTCTTCACATACTGAAATCAGTCCTTGGTCTAGCACATAGACAGCCCACTTCATCTTCAAATTATCCAATCATTACCCTGGTGCCTCGAGATGACACTGGTGTTAATAATTGCTCAAAGACTAACATCTGAATCGAAGATAGAGGCTTGCTTAGTCATCCTGAGGGTAAAACTGGTGACAAGGAACAGAGGTATGAATAAGCACAAAGCACCAAATGAAGAGAAAGTCAAGATGAAACTTTTCAGATGGCTGCAAGATTTCCAGTGGAAGTGTCAGTGAACTCTCCCCAAGGAAACATTAACTTCAACCCTCAAAATACCTGAATTTTCCTCATTTAGTAAAAGCAAGATGTCCTTGGGCCTTATAAACAAAACTTCATTGTACATTTTTCTAATAAATCTAGCCTCATTTGTCCATGACCTAGACATAGGTCAATGAACAGTTTGTACCCTTTATACCCAGCTGTATTCAGACACAAGTGATTGAAAACCTTTTGTCTGTATATAATTAAATGTAAGAATTAATTTTAAAATAGATCTTATAATTTGAGTCTTGGTGTGACTCTTGACACAGAAAATTTCACAATTCTTATGATGAGTTTATTCTTCTGTAAACAAAAAATGCAATATGAAGGATCCAGGACCACGGAGACCACGGAGACCACTCAGACCACTCAGACCACTCAGACTTCTCATTATGGATTATGTAATGATCTCATCATTATAATGGTCCATGCGGTAGCCTTCACTATGTGTCTATCACTGTGCTAAGCTCTCCATCCACAGCCTCGCATTAGGGCTTCACAACTACTCTAAGCCCCACTCACACACAAACAGGAGGAAATCGAGGCTCAGAGAGGTTACCTCGCATTCACACGGTGCCACGCTGGTTCATAACTGCATGAAGAATTCCAAGCTCTGTGCCCAGATTCTACCCTGCTTCCTTGAGAATACTTGAGGGCATTTGTCTAGTGCTGTTTTTTCCTGACTTGCCACAGGAGCCTTCAATTCTATCAGAATTCAAGGCTAAAGCTCCAGTCCTACCTAAGGATATTAGACATGGGGGTCTTCGATGCTCAAAGTTATGTCTGCTTCTCTTGAAGTCAGGCTCAACCATGACATGAGTCCCTGGCTTGCATACTCTCTGATGAACAAGAGTTTTAGAACAGTAAAATGGCCTTGGCATTGGGCAAAAAAGGCCTTTAATTAATCCTGAAAATCTTGGACCATTTATTCTAAAGCATGTCCAGGAGAAAGTTTTAAAGCATGTCCAGGAGAAAGAGTTTAATACACAGACTCATGAGGAAATAGGAGACAGTACCTGTGTCCTTAAATTAAATGTGAATCTTAGTAAAACAAAACTGGTGTTGACAAAACAGCTCAGCCACACTGTCATCTAAAAAGACAATTTTGAGGCTACTGAAACATGGTATTGGAGTTTGCTCAAGGCACAGGTCTCAAACAAAGGCAGATTCTAAGTCTGTAATACTGCACATGCTCAGAGCTGAACCCTCCTCCCCAGAGTGCAATGAGTAGTTTCCATGCAAAGCATTCTTTCCTACAGCAGCAATCTATTCAGAAAGAGTCCAGCTTGTGTGCATGGGCATGCCTGGGGGATGCCTTCCGGCCTTCCAGTCCTTAAGAGTTTGGCCTTGAGTCTACACACTTGGATTTGAGCTCTCATTCCAATGTATTAGCCACAGTGACCCTACGTAAGTTACTTGCCTCAAATTCTGCATCTATAACATGGAGTGATAATACTTCATACATACCTTTTTTTGACAGTGTTGTTGAAAAGAGTCAAAATTAATTAAGATTGCACATGTCAAGTGTCTAGAACATAGTCTGACACTCACTGAACAAATATTTTTATTATTATTTTCAGAGAGATCTTCACTGTAGGGTATGTACACTTGCTGAAGACACAGAGAGAGAGAAAGTGAGAAATCACCCACCAGGGGATGGTCATACCACAATCCCTTCTTCTTCACTCTCCCCCTGGGATTTTGGGTATGAACACATACACACTTGGCAAGAGTCTGAAGTTGGGCCTGGAGAACCATGGAGCCATGAGGGAATCTAGTACCTTAACCACATGCTACCTGCTGGCCCTCTACATGTTATTACTTTTGAGATCTTTATTTCCTATTTCCCATTTTGATATAGTTACTTACCCTATTTTTAGACATACCATCTCTCAATAATTTGGCAACATTTTTAATGTAAGTATATGAGGCAAAATTGTCCACAAAAGAAAGGAACTCCCTAGTGCTCTGTAAACCATTGCCTGATGGTTGTTTACAAAGGGAGAGGAAGAAGGTTTTGGGAAGGACCGCAGTGGAGGAAGATAATAATATGAGCAGGGATGTCCAATAACCAGCATGACATCATTAAGCTGATAAATGGTAGGAGAGAGGGTCAAATCCTGTTATCCTTGAGGGCATGTGTTTAACTAGCCTTCTTATCTGAATTAATGAGCAAGCTGAAGAAACTGGTCCTGGGGAGAATTCTAGACCTCTTGTTCTGGCCTCAAGCACTGGTCATCTAAGCTATTGGCCAAGAGACCTTGTAAGGGACAGCTGGAGGTTGCGGACAGAGTGTGTACTTGGGGGACAGAGTGTGTACACCCAGGCATACTTGGGTGAGGATCTCAACTATCCCACACCCAAATTCATGACATCTTTAGAGTCTTTGACCTTTTATTTCATGAACATAAAATGGCAGGTACTAATAGTGTTTGAAAGGTCTGGTGTGAGAATAAAACAAGAGGAGGATTGAAAGTCTGTGTACAATGGACCGTGGACCATAACTGCTTCATTCAATGACAGCATACCTTATGCTTTCTTCTCTCTGGCATCGGACAACTCTTACAGTATTTTTTCTTTATCAAAGAGAGACATGGCCACACCCAAGCACCCACAGTCATAATGGACATGAGCTAAGAGTTGACTAGTCACTGTGTTGGCCAAGGGTCTGGACAGCAGGCCTTCCTAGGTATTGTCCACTGGGTACAAATTGGCACAAGCTCTCTGTAGGACAACTGAGCAATGTCTGCATTTTAAATCCATGGGCCTTTAACCATCCAACACAAAGATACATAGAGATGGGCAGTGATAGTCAAACCTAGCTCTTCACTGTGGCCTGACTAGAATAGCAACAGTGCAGACTAAATGCTAGAAACAATCGAATTACCATCAGTGGGATATGTCTGTATGTAAGAATTTACAAAACCTGAGAAAGAATGAGTTGGATCCAAAGTGAAATGTGGACTGATCTTCCAGATATAAAGTGTGCCAAAGTGAGTGCTTCATGGGTTTCAGCTCTGTCATCTTGAAAGTGGGGATAGTGAGAAGTTAGACATTAAGACTGCCTTAGAGATAGATGCAAGAGATAGAGAATGATAGGATAAAGAAGGACGTAGAGAAGCAGACATATGTTTGCACTTGCATAAACACTTCTAGAAGCAGAAATAAAGGATTGCTAACTGTGGTTTCTGGCAGGGAGACTAAGAATGGGGGTCATGGGTATCAGGAAATTTTAGTTCTCATTTTATTCTCTTTTCTAATATTTGACTTTTTGAACCACATGCTTGAATTGCTTTAATAATTAATAATAATAATGATAGTAGTAGTGAACAAAAAGGAGCACGCTGAGTTAGTTTTCTCCATACCTTAGTTATCCAATTGGGTTTTGAATCAGAGCTAGTATATAAAGGGTTAAGAAGAGAATGCCCTCACCAACCAACATCTTATCTTTTTAAAAATATTCATGAATTATGGAGACAGAGCTAAGCTGTAGGAAGAAGCAGTTGAGGATAAAGAAGAATGTGACTCCCTGAACAGCTCTTCTCCCTGCCAGTGGAGGCTGGAGCACAGGGACCAGGCTCTGGCACCCATGTTCTTTCTCCAGTTGGGGCTCAGCTAGTAGAAACATGGTGGAAGACTTTTAAACAGACTGCAGAGGTGTTAAAAATAGAAGTTAAGTTGCTATTGGAGATACATGGAGAATTCACCACTTGCAAATCTCTAATTATAATATGTCAAGAGTAAAATACCTTGTCAGGAGCAGTATCTAATATAATACTGTATGGGCTCTGTCAGCATAGTGATCCATGATGTGTTTGGAGGCCTACATTAAATAGAAATTCAGCAGAAAAATGTCCTGCAGGGACTCGTCTCGGCCCTTGGGGAGCTGAAAGGATGACCTGGTAAGTCTTTTCTGTCTGTATTTCGCACAGCTCTGCTGGGGAACTCTGGGAGCATCCTGCTTCCCTTTACAGACTCTGCACTTTGTGTGAAATCATGTGCATATATTAGACGTTCTTGGAGCCCAACAGATGGACGGACATTTTCTCCTACCTCAAATCACTTAGTTTGTCAAAGAAGTAATGGCCTCTACAAGGCTCCTCGGATGACATTAAGGATCATAGATATTTACACACGCCAGGGGACAGTAGGTGCTATTCCAGGTACAATGCTATCTCACAGGGAAGAACCAGGCGTTCTCCCAGCAGTGCCACTGCCACCGTGTGTGTGTTGTTTTAGACAGTGTCTCACTGTGTTTCAATCCTCTTGCCTAAGCCTCCTGAGCAGCTGAGACCACAAGCGTACACCACCATGCCCAATTTTCAGGGTGGGCCAGGAATGGAATCTGGCCGTCCCATGTGCCCATGGCCACCCAATGGCAGTGCCTAGCACCCTCTACTGCAGCAGGTCCCCAACAGTAGCTTTTGTGCTAACACTGAGCCGTGCACTCAAGATGGGGGGAACCATGACACTGACCCAAGTGGAGGTTAAACTCCTCCCACAGGAAATGCGAAACCTGGAGTGAGGAGGAGGTGCACACAGTAGATGTCTGTGGAGGGGCAGACGATTCGAAGCAAGCCTGTCATAGATCATGACCTGCTGGTTCAGATCAGAAAAGGACAGCTCAAAAACAGGCCACGTATAGCAGAAGCATCTTCCCTTTTAGCCAAAGAAAGCTCAAGACTACTTCAAAAAGTGCACGGGAAAAAAAATGGAATTAAAGTATGAGTTTGTTTTGTTGCAAAAATAATTTGAAATCCATTTATACTTTTTTCATAATGCATATTTTCCATGAACTTTGTGAAGACTCTTGGTTAACGTATGCAATTATTTGCAGCAGAAAATACCATGGCACCTCTGATGATTCCTGCTTGCTCCTGACATCAATTAAGAACCCAAGAGCTGCACGTCAATTTAGAATAGAAGCCTCAGATTTCCTCAGGGGAAGCTGGGACACCCACCTGTGCCAGTCTATCATGCTCATCCTAACTTCCTGGAGCAGTGTACACCCTCAGTCACTGCTGGAGAAGACAAAATAACCAGCTAGTCAACCATACCTCACCTTCACATTCCCTCAATTCAGACACCACTGCCATACAAATACTTTAGAAAGCATCTGGGAAGTTTTCTGATGTGTTGGTACAAGTTCAGGAATCCTTCTTTTGTCTCAAAATATTTTTTCTCACTCTCAGCCAATGAATGAGAAATGAAGACCATACAGGAGGAACTCCTCACATTATCTCTCTTTTTTTTTTTTGAGAGGTTTTTTTTGCTATAGGGTGTGTGCGCTCGCCAGACAGACAGAGAGAGACAGAGAGACAGAAAGCAGGAAATCACCCCCCCAGGGGGGATGGCCACGTCGCAATCCGTTCTCCTCCATTCTCCTCTTGGGATCTTGGGCACGCACACACACGAGCCCGGCGTGAGTTTAAGCCACCGGGTTCGGGACTCGAACTGCGGTCGACTATGTGGGAGTCCAGTGACACAGCCATTACGTTAACTGCTGGTTCCACATTATCTCTTGACTTCAAAACTTCTCTGCATCCTTGACCCAACTATGGGGGTATGGCAGCACAACATTCTGCAATGCTGGAAGCCATGTGGAATACCAGGGTTTGTTCCTGAGTTCACATGTACATGCCAGGTCTGATTCTGCCTAACTGGGAAAGCCTGGGGGAAGGACCAAGGATCACAGAGTAAGAGGTGCTTGCATGTGTGTGTGTGTGTGTGTGTGTCTTCTCTTTTTCTCTCTCATATCTAGTAAATAAACAAACTGAAAATAATTTCTGCATCCTCACACACTTACTCTTCTTTCTGCTCTGATTTAAAATTAAGGTGCTTTCAAAATTTCATAGCGGCTTAGGGACCAGCAGTTAGCGTAATGGCTATGTCGCTGGACTCCCATGTAATTGACTGCAGATTGAGTCCTGGACCCGGTGGCTTAAACTCACGTCAGGCATGTGCGCGTGTGTGCCCAGGATACCAAGAGGAGAATGGAGGAGAAGGGATCACGGTGTGGCCATCCCCCCTGGGGGGTGATTTCTCGCTTTCTTTCTCTCTGTTTCTCTCTGTCTCTCTGGCGAGTGCACACACCCTATAGCCAAAACCTCTCAAAAAAAAAAATCATAGCGGCTTTATTTTTAGTAACCAACTAAAAATGAAAAATGACCCAAATACCTGTCCCCAGCTAAATGGAGAAAACAGCTGTGGCATTTCTGTGCAGTGGAGTAATACTTGGCAGTGAAAAGGAGTGAGCTCCTGACGCATGCAGCGCTGTGGATCCATCTAAAAGTAATTAATCATGCTAAGTGAAAGAGCACATATTTTTTTACTTCATTACTGTGAAATTCTAGAAACTGCAAACCAAGCTACAGTAGACGAGATGGTCACCTATATTAAGACACAGGATGGTGAAAAAAGGATTATTTAAAAGCAAGAGAAAACATTGGGGACGTTCGTTATCCTGATAGTGGCCATGGTTCCGCGTGTATGCACGTTTGTGAGAACTTATCAAATTGTACTCTTACAGCCAGCCTTGTAGTGCAGGGATTAAACTCTGTGCAGAAGAAACAGAACCCACATGACCAATGGGGGTTTGATTCCTGGTCCCTGCAGTAACATGCCAGTCATACGTGCATAAGTCAGGATTCTGACAGGATGGAGAATTAGAGAGAAAAGGATTACAACATGGCCAGGCCCTACTGGGCAGTCCTTCCTCTCTCTGCCTCTCTCCTCTCTCCCTCACATGCATGTACACTCTGGCATTAAAAAGCTGTATACTTAAACATGCAGTGTGTAAGTGTATAAATTTTATGTCAATTAAACATAAGTAGAGCTGAAAAAAATTGTTTCTTCTTTCTTAAACTTACTCTATCTACACATCTGTGATCTGATTCTTCCTTAATTCTACTAAAACATTCTGTCACCTTCTTTCTTGGGACTTTTTTTTTTAATCTATTTCCTGTCCTTTCTGTTCCCTGGCATAAATTAGTGACCCTAAATCAACTCTCCTGCAAACTGCTCCCTCCGACCTTTTGCCCCTCAGCTGTTATCCTTTCCCTTGTCACTGCAAGGTTGATGACAGGCTGTGAACACTCTATTTGGTACCTCACCTTGCCTCAACACTTGCCCCACTGGCATCTCTTCCCATCATTCCAGCAAAACTGCTTTCTCCAAGCTCTTCAGGGATACCCAAGCTGCCAGCTTCAATAATGTCTTTCAGACATTTTTGCCTGAAATAGTGACAGATTCCCAGACTTCCTTGGCCCCACACTTATCTGGTTCAACCCTATTCTGAAAACCCCATTTGTGTTTCAAACCCCAGCCCTATGAGCTCCCCAGTGTTCTGTCCTGTTCTTCTCTTCATCCCCTACAATTCACCCCTCACACTGAAAACCTGATCAATTTGAGCCTGTTCACACGAATCTTTTCCCATACTACTTGTCACACTGGCCAGCTTCTATCTACTCCGCACCTTTACAGTTTGTTCTGAAGGTACCTCGTTATGGGCTCTGGTGAAATAATCTCCTTATTCTACCTATTATGTATGGAACTCCTTAGTGGCTCCAGGGCTGAGGCATATAATCTCAGCCTTAGGCACTGAACAAATATAATACCACACAAGCCAGGCAGACAGTGATTCCCAGTGTCCACGTGGCACTAGTTCAGGAGTCTTGCACTGTGTTGTTGGTCACAATGACAAGAGCCTACACCTGCAGGGACAGAGTCAGGGAGTGCAACTGAGCACGGGGCAGCAAAGTGAGAGATGGATGCTCCTGGAATCTGCTGAATGTGTGCCAGGAACCAAGTTAGACTCTCTTGCTGGACTTTCGTCATATAAGCTGACGCAAGTCCAACAGAGTTTTCTGTTTCTGGTAACCAGAAGACGGCAGTGTATACCCTCCAAGCCACAACCCTGAGGTAGATCCCATAGAAAATGTTTTGTACCATCTTCACAATATGTTGATGTTTCATAATTGCATGCTCTGGAATTTGGCACATTATTATAATTAATAGAACAGATATTCTCCTGTGGACCAAAAGCTCTCCAAGAGAGAAGAACTTATCTTCTCATCATTTTAACTCTCTGTAATGCCTGGGGCGCTGTGGACACCAACATGCTATTTAAATTTAATCGTGTTGATCTTGAAAGTGTTCTTTTTACAGGCCAAAGATGTTGGGCATCTTAATGCCAACTGGATTAAGATTTCTTTTAAGGCAGTCATTGTCAACCAGCTCTTTTTAAAGCTAACTTTGTCATTCTCATGGCTTAAATTGTTTGCCATGGATTCCCAATGCTCCTAAAGTGGAATTCCAATTCCTTATCGATGATCCTTGCTGATTGTCCCCACTGCCTCTTTTGCCTCTGCACCTTCAAACTCCCTCTACCATGCCCCAAATATACTGGCCTCTTTCTAGTTGTTAGAATGAGTCAAGCTCTTCTCTGCCTCAGGACCTCTGACCTTGGCATTGCCTTTGCCTGGGAAGCTTTGTCTTCTCACCTTACATGTAATCTCCTTGAGGAAATGTTTTCACATCACAGAACTTATTGGCTGATAACACCCCTGTTCCTTATATCTTCCTGTAGTGTCCACCTTTTCCTTAGAGCAAGCACCACAATTTGTGGTCATGGAGCTGTTCAGTTACAGAGATGTCGGTCATGTGCTCCCTTCTGCCTCCTGCACTAGGTTACAAGGGGGAAAGGCCATGCCTGTTCGCTTCAGACTCATCACCGAGAATGTGTCCTGGCCCCAGTAGACAATAAATACACGTGAATACATTTTTCACAGTAGTTACCTTCATAAATAATGTTGAGTTAGATTGTTATTTCTGTCTGGAAACAATTGCTCAGGACCTACTACCATTGGTTACCACTAAATGACCAACCATCAATAGACAACAACTCCATCAACATGACCTGTAGTAAACCCAACCACCACCATCACCTGCTAAACCAGCAAATTTACTTCATGAGCCATCCCTAAGGTACAGAAGCCACTTTCAACAAGGCAATAGCAGCCCTGTTCACAGCAGCCACAAGGTGGAGACAACCGCGATCCCCACCGCAGATGAGTCAGCACCATGGGGTCTATCCCCGCAATGGAGTGCAGGAACCCTGACAACATCCTGCTGTAGAAGAAGTCAGGCACGGAAGACCACGCATTGTAGGGTTCCATTTTTTATGAAATATCCAGTAAAGGCAAGCCCATACAGACAGAAAACAGACCGGTGGTTGCTAGGGCAGGAGGCAGGGAGAATGGGGAGCACCTACTTCATGGCTGTGAGACTCCTTTTGGGTTGATGAAAACATTCTGGAACTACTAGGTTGTCATAAAAGCTAAGACATATTTTTTCTATGTAAAAATGCATCAGGACTTTTCCAACAACCCAGTGGATAATGGTGGTGATGGCACTAGGCTATCCCTGCTAAATGTCACTGAACTGAGCATGTGAAAATGGTTCCAACAGCAAATTCTATATTATATATATTTTGCCACAATACATAAAAAGGGGGAGGAAGCAATGGGAAATTTCAGAATGTACACTACTTTTCAAAAATCTCTAAAAAGTTTCAGGAGGACATCAAAGATGACATCTGGCCAAATCCATTACAATACTGGTTGGTTCCCGATACGGATGAAGAAGAGGGGGAAGGAAAGGGGGATGATGATGATGAAGAAGAAGAGGGATTCGGAAGATATTGATGAGGAAGGGAATGAGAATGAAGGTGAAGAAGATGAAGATGATGATGATGAAGGGGAGGAAGGAGAGGAGGATAAAGGAGATGACTGACAAACCCTGATGGATTCCAATCCTCTTTTTTTAAAATTTTTTTTTTCTCCAATCCCCAGGAGCAAGTTGTACTACTTTTTTCTTTTTTCTTTTTTATATCCTGTGTTCAGTCATTCTGCTCTTGAGGTCTCTTTCCTCTACACCATGGTTCTCAACTTATTTGAGGGGGAAACCCTTGAGCAGAAGACAATGGGGAAAGAATCTCTACCTTTTTCTGTTCCAAATTCATTTTTATCCCTTCCTGTCTCAACAAAAATTGTTTGTAATCAATACCACCGTGCTCTGTGGGAAAAAAGAAAAAGCTGCTCCCTTCGCTCTGCTGGAAGCTGGCAGTGCTGGGCCCCTGTGTAGTAGTGCAAGAATTCTAGCTTTTTCCTCCTTTCTCTGTATATTGGGCTCAGAAATTACACTGTGTCTCTATGTTAATATGGACAGTTAGCATTTACCAACATGCATCTGTCTACTTCCTCTTGCTTAAAACAAGGGGAAAATAACTTTGAAAAATGCGGTTTTTAGAAGGTCGGCTGAAGGTGGGTTTGAGATGTTTGGGTGGGTTAAGTGGGCATTTTGACAACATGGCTTCTCCTTTGGCATGTTTAATTGTGATGTTTACTGGACATCCTTGCAGTTTAAGATGACACTTTTAAAAATAAAATTCACTCCTAATGATGACTTGAGCCCTGCCATTCAATGGGAGAATCCGCAGAACCTGTATTTGGAATTGACGTTCTCTCTTGTAATTTTGTTCCTGCTTATTTAAAATTTTCTTTTTGTTTCACAGGAAAGGAAAGATGCTCAGTTTCTAATGTTAAAAATGTACAAGTTTCTTTGTTACAATAAAACTAATTGTGTACACACACAATCTCTAAATAACCTCCCAATCAACAAGGTGCCAAAGTAACAGTTAGCCAGTGGCTGCTTTTCCTACAGGAAAAGTATCATGCCTCAGACTTAACAAACGCTGGCTTTCCACAGACCTGAGGGCAGAGGAAGAGAGAGGATCTCCTTGCATCTCCATAAAATCTTAGACAAGAGGCTTGGTGTGTCCACGCGTCTAAAGAATTCAGCAGAAAAAGGTCTCCCAAATGGGATCTGAATAGGTCACATGGAATATGTGAATATTTTAGGTGACTCACAAATGAACATTTTCTAATTCTATAATTATTTTCTTTACGATTATCTTTAACTAATGGCCAGTAACACTAGTATCCATTTATGGTAGTGAGTGAATGTTTCTTTTATTTGCTTGCTTATTGATTGCTAAGCCATTCAATCCATTTCTTTTTATATAAAAATAAAATTCACCCTAAGGTGTAGAACAGTCCCCTGGCCCACGGGCATTCTTTCACACTGCTCCTTTGTAGCCCAGCCCTCTCGCTGCCCTATGACCCAGTGAGAGAAAGGAAGAAACTAGTGACTTCTACCACCAGGATGGGTCTCAACTGCCCTCGGCTAAGTTAAAGTGACCAAATTCAAGATGCCTGGAGTGGAAGTGGGAGTTGCTGCAAATGGGCACAGGAGTTATTTTCAGGGTGATGGAAAGCTCCAGAATTAGATTTTGACGATGGTGCACAATGTCTTAAGGTATACCAAAAACGAGTGAATCGTACACCTCAAACAGGTGAATTTTATGATATGTAAATTATATCCCTGTGAGATCATTTTTAAAAAAAGATTCCATTGGTTTGATGTTTTGGAAAACGAACAAAATACAGAAGCTTCCCTTTACAAATCCGCAGGTACTTCAAAAAGTTCATGAAAAATTAAAATCAAAGTTCGGTTATTTTGGTGCAAGAAATTTTGAAATCCATGCATAGCTTTTTTTTTCACAATATACATTTTCCATCCACTTTTCAAAGACCCACTGAAAATGTGGCTAATAAAAATGTGTCGATTTCCACAGTGTAAGGAAGCGAGCACAAAGATCAGACCAACGTGGGAAGCTGATGGAGAGAGGACGTCTTTGTAGGGCTTAGAAGAGAGTCCCCAGAGCACTAGCTGCCCCTGCCCACCTCCCGGGCTGCGCGGCATCGCCCCGTGGAGAGCGCCCCAGAGCGCCCACCCCACCCCACTCCCAGCGCGAAGCGCCCACTTACTGTGGCGGTGCCGGAGACGGTCTGCGCGCTGGTGTCCGCGGCGCTCTGCTCCGAGTGCGACTGGGCGGAAGGGTACAGGTTTAACGTGTGCTCGGGGACGGTGGTCTGGCCCGTGTACTCTGGTGCGGGGTGGGGATGAGGGGCCGTGTATTCCGCGGGGATGCCGTTCTGAGGGGGAGCAAACTGGGCCGAAGCGTAAGGCTGAGCCATTGTGTCAGGGGCAGCGGCTGCGTCCTGATTACCCTGGAACATCAGAGGGTGGAGAGAGGGAGAGCGAACCATGAGCGGGCACCCAGCACAACCTTCCCAGGCCCCAATTTCAGTTCCCAGGGACTTCCTAGGTGCCAGGGCGCTGCCACCGGCCTGAGCTGGACCAGTCTCAAGTCGTCACCAGACCCTGAAAGGACACGGAAACCGTCCTGAACCCCCATTTTATAGATGCACCAATCAGGCTCAGAGGATGAGGTCCCGGCGCAGGTCATCCAGCCTGACGTTCAAACACTGCGCGAGGGCATGGGGGCCCCTTGGTCAGGGCCGCCTTTTCTGGCAGCTTCTCCCTGTTCCGTTTCCATTTTGGAAGTCATGAGCATGTAGTTCTGCTCTGGGAGCCTTGGTGTGATGCTTGAAGTGCCGGGAGAGATTAAATTGAAGTGTGTGTTCCTGAGCACTAACCCACGTGTCATGTGGCTTGGCTCACATGAGGGAGTGGGGGCTGCTTCTACGGTCCCAGCATGAGTATGTGCACAAGAGGGAGTGTGGAGCGTGTGTGTGTGATGTTCCCAGTGCCAACATAATGAACATCCAGGGCCTGATTTGGACCAAGATGGCCCTCTGTGATGTCTGCATTTTAAGCATTTCTGCAAAATGTTAGACTTAACTCTTAGCCTCATTAGTCAATGCCCCCTTCCAACCTCTGCTTTATTTTATTTTATTTTTTTATAAGCAGGATATTATATAACAATTCTCCTTTCAGTTTTAGGCAAAACATGCAGTATGATAATTACAGTCAAGTCAAAAGAGTTTTTAAAATCCCAAAAAAAACAAAAACCTGAATTCAAATGCTTCCATTTCAGGAAACAGCTCTCCCTCTCCACCTCCACCCTCATAACTGTACCACCATCACCACACACACACACACACACACACACACACACACACACACAGAGAGAGAGAGAGAGAGAGAGAGAGAGCAGGAAGACATAAGAAACTGTAACCCAGAAGTCCAAATTTTCCGTGGTCCCAGGAGATGAGATTGCAAATCAGAAAGGGAGCGGCACAGCTTAGCAATTAAGCACATCCAGTATCTGCCTTTCCCATTGCCCATGGCTGGTTAGACGTGACTTTTGCCCTGGTACGATGATACTAGGATGGAGAAATGTCAGATGGCTCACATCTCCTCAGAACCCACCACCACCATTCCAGAGTGTCTCCCGTTGAAGTCACTTGAGCACACCAAAATCAAGATGACAGGGAGAGGGGAGATAAGTTTGTTCTCAGAGCAGCACACAGAGCTGCGCATTTGTTTAGAGCAGACCTTAATTAGCATGTTAAAGATGACACTGTAGAGAGAACTAAGCTTAGGATAAGTTTGAAGCATTTCACAAGTGAAAACATTCCCATCAGGCTCCTTCCTCCAGAATATTCTTTTCCAAATGCCTAGGCTATTGGAAGAAAAAGCACCCAAGCCTTTCTTCCTATCTTACATTTTTTACAGCATCTGGGGCTATGGAGGGCCAGCCTGTGCCTGGGCTGGATCTTCATACATGAGCAAATAACTCTGTCCATTCCTGGGAAACCAGAGGAGGCTGAGTGTCACTGCTGCTCAGTCTTCAGTCCTGTGGAAGGACCATGCCTGAGTTTGCCCTTGCACGGCACTCCACTCTCAGCCTGCAAGGTGCAGACGTGGTTGACCCAGACTCATTATGGTCAGGTGACCCTAGTCTAGCCAGTCAGGTTTGCCCACCGTAGTCCTGGTTCCTGCCCATCTTTGGACTGAGCCGGTTAGTGAGCAAAGTCCTAATCAGGCTGTAAGTCTTAGTTCCTTGGGATCTAGCTGTGGTATTTGTGAGGATGTTGTCTTTCCACAGTGATGAGCAACGTGGAAACAGCGTCAGTCCAGAGTGCCAAGAACTGACACTGGAAGGGAGTGCCTACAGGTGTAGCCAGGCCAGAGCATAAGAGAGCCCAGAAACTGAGCAAACAAGGGAGATCGACTGGGTCCAGGCGATGTGAGTTAAAGTCCTGGGTCCAGCTTTACCTGCATTGATAACACCCCTGTTTGTCTTAGTTACAGGAGTCAGAAAATGTCTTACTTTTCCATAACAGCTTTATTGATACACCATTTATATAAAACTGTGTATTTAAGGTATACAGCCTGATGTTTTGCTACATGTGTGCACTGAAGTGATCACCGTAGCTCACTAATTAACACATCTGTCACTACTGAGTAGTTGCCATTCATGCACACGTGTGTGTTAGTGTGTGTATGTGCACGTGTGGGGTGATATTTCATTTCACAGCTACATCTTAGCATCCTTTAAGTCCACTATATAGCACTTTTGGCTCCCATCCTCATGCTGTATGTTAGATCTCCAGAACTTACTCATCTTGCATTACTGAAACTGTGCCCTTTGCTTTATTTTGTTTAAAAGCTACAACCTTTTTGTTATAATTGAAGGGTCTCACCTAGTAAAGAAAATCTTCTGTTTTATAATTCAGTTAGCATCAGATATATTTTTTTTAACTTCTGGGCTGTTCACTAAACATAGCCTATGTATTGAAATTCCAGGACCATGGTTCTCTCTGCTCCCCACCAGATTCATGGCACCAGAGTTGGAGTCTGACCAGGTCTGCTCTAGCCACCCCAACTTTCTACCTGCCCAGTTCTAAACTGAAAAATAGGCTTATGAAAACTCCAGGTATGGGCTCATGGGGCACACGACATGATACTGGAAGGAAGGCAGAGTCAGCTGGTATACAGACGAAGCTTGCCTCCTCAACCTCAGCAGAAAACACTTCTACTAGGAACACGTGACCATGTGGCCTTGAACCACTGCAGAACAGTCTCAGAGGAGTGACGTAGTCCCACAAGCTCCTGCACAATACCAAGGGCTTCCTGCAAGATCTGGCCTCACTCTGTACTGGAAGAAAGAGTCCCTTGCCATGAAGCTTAAAGGACAAGAGGAGGTCCCTCCTCTCTCGCAACACCACCAAGGCTGCCTAGTCACTCCCAGACAGGAAGGGGGCCAGTCTTTTGTCTGGCTGGCCCCTGCTTCTTTTTCTGGTTCCAGATAAAGAGCCCCCTCCTCCAGCAAACCTTCCTTAACACTAAAACAGATCAGTGGCCTATCCTCTAAGCTCTCCTGCAACTGCAGCCCTATCTTCTCTAACTCCAAGCCCTGCTACTGGCTGTCAGTCCACCCACAAGGGTAGGACTGCACCACATTTCTGGTCCTATCTCCAGGACACATGTTTGCAAAGCAAAATATTTCTTGCACAAATGTGCTTTAAAAATGAGCTCTGAGCTCAACAAAGCTGCAGAAGGAGACAGGGCAGAGCGATAGAAGACAACTTAGGGAATAACTCATAGGCAAATCTGGCCCACTGCTTGTTTATAAATAAAGTTTTGTTGGGACACAGCCACACTCATTTGTCCACACACAGTCAATGGTTACCTTGTTGAGGTGCTGACAGAGACTGCTCAGCCTGCAAAGCCTACACTACTTGCTGTCTGACCCTGTATAGAAAACGTTTTCTAATGGCTGTAGCAGAATATCATTAGCAATGGGGACACCAGTAAAGAAGTCATCATTGCATAAGTGGTTTGGACAGGAAATAAAGCTGCCAGTGAAGCAGGGAGAGAGAAAGAAAGTACATTCTGCCTAAACCACAGAGGGTGCTCGCAGCTAGCCTTGGAGATCAGTGATACTGAGAATGGTACAAAAAAGAGTGAGTCAGAATCGTTTTTATTTTTGAATTTGCTTTCCATCCTTAGATCTTGGACATGTAAACACATATGCGCTCTCTCGCTCTCGCTCACTCTCTCTCTCTCTCTCTCTCATACCACACACACATTCTGTCAGCTCTAAGGAGAAGGCCCATGGTGGTCTCAGCTTTAGTGCTCCACCCAAAGGCAGCCTCTTCTCTCTGGTGCTCAGAGTGATGCTGCCTCTCCCTCGGGCCTAGTGGGCGGCAGGCAGTGTGTGGGGTGCTTTACACCACTAGTTCTTAAACAGGCACAACTGCTCCCAAGAGACACGAAGCAGGGGTGCAGACGTTTCTGTCACACCAAAGGAGGATATCTACCCCCATCCAATGGGTTGAGGCCAGAGATGTTGCTATATACCTTTCTGGGCACAGGACAGGCCTCCACCACAAAGGATCACCTGGCCCCACCAGTCAATGGGGCCAGGGTATAGAATTCCTGCTCAGCACGTCTTACTCCTTGAATCCCACTTTACTTTGTAATCAAACATGCTCCAATCCACAACTGAGACACAATTACACAAGGCCACAACCACAGGCAGTTCTGCCAGAAATCACAATTAGAGTTAAAGCTCGTATTTATCCTCTGCCAATGCAGCTCTCATCCGGCCAGATAATCACTTGGTGGGATACTTTGGCTCCCAATTTTAAATAAACAAGTCCTTCTCTGTCACACACATCATGGCCCAAAGACCTGCTTTTCATCCGTTGATGTATTTCTCAAGTCCCCTGTGGGAATGTCAGGTGCTGGGGTATTTATTCAAAGATGCCACTGACTCCCTTTGCCAGATTAGATGGGTATCTTTCTGGAAGTGGAAATGCCACGGTCTGGTAAACCTCTGCTCCACCTTGAGCCTGAGGCCTGGCTTCAAAGTGCTCAACACCAGCCTAGGAAAGAAGATTAACTAGTGGCACCATGGGAGTCAAGCAAACCATCTGCCCCTCCCAAGCTGATGCCACTCTGGCCAACACAAGGCCATGCTCTGAGGACAAGTTGATGGCCACAGAGCCTATGGTTAGCATTGTCTACTTGTCTGGCCAGGCCCGTGAGGCTCCAGGCTTCATCTCATACCTGAAGTTCTCAAACAGATGTTGGGGGGGACCCCTACTGTTACTATTAACACTGACGGCCCTTCCAGAGAGACCCTAATTAATATTCCCAACATTTGCACTTTAAGCTAATTACAACTAATATTTAATTAAGATCATTGTACTTCCTATGGAATTATTTTTCACCTTCAGAGGGCTTCTGAGATGTC